CTGAGTGATCAGAGTTGATAGGAGCAGAGAAGAAAGAGTAAGGCGACCGCTTTCCTCTCTGAGCAGCCCGCACAGTTTTGTCATCCCCGAACATCCACTCGGCAGAAACTATGAATATATATGGGACAATGCGAGTCATACCCGTCATCAGACTTCGGAGCGGGGCCCGTACTTACCGGAGATGACGTGTGTCCCCCGTAAGGGATATGCACATGTATATACGGCTTAGCTTGACATCCCCCGACCTCGAAAATCGCGTGGCTGAAAATAGTCAGGGGATGGGTTGGAATCGTGGGTACCTGCCCAACTTCTGTTTGGGAGAGGCTCTACCAAGTTGAACGAACGAATAGCTTGTGAGTGCTACGCTTGCTGATGCACGACTCGTGTTACTCTTCTAAGGAGGTAGAAGCCTATAATCGTGAATGCTTGGACTCCAGCAACAGGCATGGCCTTCACAACACACCACTCCTCGCCGCATCACTGGCAGCGCCGATCAAAACAAGAGGATAAAACCAGCATTGCATCTTCTTCTTGGAATCGGTACCAAATTGTGTTGAGGTGAAGATAAAGACTCGTGGCTGACGTTGGAGTCAGTACGGGCCAACACAGACACAAGCGGCGCTTCTGTGTACATAGCCGTGTACAGCGGGAGTCTCTAGCAGATGGCTACATAACAACACATTTAAGCAGTGGTAACGCATTTTCCAGGACATGTGACCCTCTTGGTCTCAAATTGCATGAAAAAGGGATTAGTGACTAGGAGAAAGTCGCCGTTGCGCCCACTCGCAAGCCCGTTTGACAGAGTATATTACGCGTCTATTTCGACCCCCGTCAACAAATCGCTGTCCTCTATTAACTTTAGAAATTCACTTGGAGCGAAGACAAACGAAAGTTGAGGGTTACGTGTGAAACGCGAGATAGTGCGAGTTCCAAAAGACGCAGTGAGCGTCAGCAAGCTACTCCAATCCGTCAAGCAAGGATCCTGTTGAACTGCTCGATATGCTCCTTGACGAACTCTTCGAAAGTACGGGGCCTCCGTGCCAACCCATTCTGACTAGGGCCGACGTCCTTCCCGCCATAGACTAAGAATGCGAACTGTGCGTTAGAGCTCGCTCCGCCTCACGACCTAACCCCTTTCAATAAGCTCTCACTCACAACCAAACTCGCCCAAGCAATTGTACATATCCGTGAGCATGATTATCGCATCCTCCGGGAGACCAGCAGCAGCCATCCCTTTCGCCTGCTGTTCCTGAGAAATCTGCACGTACTTGACGGTTTTGCCAGTGACTGGGAACGAGCGTCATGATTTCGTACCATCAAAGAACACATCGGCAAGGGAATACACTTGCCTTTGCTCAGCGTGCTGGCAATGGCAGCGCGGGAGAGAAAGTCCGCACTCGTCAAGATCTCGGTTTCTCCTCCGGGCCACTCATCAATCGCCTTTCTGACCCAGAGGCCATAATCCCCGCTGGCATCGATCAAGTGGGCGAGCGAATCTGGGGAGCTGGCTGCAAACATGGCGAAAGTCCCGTCGGGCTGCTTCCTGGGCGCAGAGGGACCTGGTCAAAGAGTCAGCCCTAAGCTCCTCTGAGCCTGGACAGTGAAGCATCAGTCACCTAGGAAGTTCTGATAGTGAATTGCTGCTTCGACGTTGACGAACGGGATTCCTGTGTCCTTGCAGTATTGCGTGACAGCCGCCTTCCTGTTCATACAAAGCCAAATATGATGAGAGTGCCCACAAAAAGGATACAGCACGCCAACATACGCGTCAAAGTGATCGGCCCGAGTGTATTTACCGCCAGATACCTCGGTGTAGTTCTCCTGTCCTGACCAGATAAAAAGCTTGACCTTGGCGGCCTTCGCGGCATCCACAAACATCTTCCCCTCTGCAGATTCCTACAACCGGTTCGGATTCAGTATGATCAACTGGAGAGTCTTACTTAGGAGCCAGTTGTACACACCCGTTCCTTACTGGTGCTCACGGCATGAATCGTTACCGCCTGGAATGATCCCATCCCAATGAATGAGGCGGCTCAGCGATAGAAAGATCACCTACTCACGAACGCGTAGGTAGCGCCTTCAAACGCTTGATTGACCTTCGCCTTGTTCTCCGGCGTGGGGTTCGGGTCGACGGTAACCATTTCGACTCCCTTTTTCGTCAACTCTTGCGCCGCGGGTTTACTCATATCTCTCGTGAAGCCTCGCATGCGATATGGCTTGTCGGACTCCTCCAATGCCTTTGGGAATGTGTAGTTTCTTGAGGTCATCAACAATAAGCTTCCGTACCCAACATAGATACGTACCTTGATAACACTTCCGCCTTGAGTACCCGTGGCACCAACCACAACAATGAGAGGGGCAGAGGCGTCTTGGGAGATAGTCATGATGATTGGTCTGAGTTGGGTAATATGATTGGAGGGGGGAGAGATGACGACCGCCCAGTTTATACAAAGTATATAAGGCCAGCCGGATCCCAGCTTGCGCGTTCAAGAGACCAGAGTTGACGGCAGCGCCTCAACAAGGAGAGCACGGTGGCCGATTGCCCCTTGAGCGGCCTACAGTGTCATCATCCCCGAACTCCTTCAATCAGCAGAAGCTATGAATATACACAGTACACTGTGAGGTCTTACGCGTCGTCGAACCTTCAAGCAGCCGGATTGAAGAAAACTTATCGGAGATGACGTGAGTCTCCCGCTCGGGATATACACATCAAACACTTAGGGATAGGTTGGAGTCGTGGGTACCGGCACGAGGTTGAATATGACGGTGACAAACTTGATACTATGCTCCAGTTCTTCACTGTAGGACCTTTTGGGCCCTCGTGGGGTGCTATTTTAGCTGGGTTTTACTTGTAAAATCCAAGCCGTAAGACTGGGGGCAAGTATTATGCTTGACTTTTTCCTGTGACCTTTCTTACATGAGGTATATGTCCGCTTTGATGCTGTC